GGAAGGAAGGAAGGAAGGAAGGAAGGAAGGAAGGAAGGAAGGAAGGATGCAGTATTAAAGTTAAAACTGAAAGGTGAAACCCCATGTTTTCAGAATCTGAACCTCGCTGTCTAGGGAAGTGGCATTTAGGGACCCAGGAAATTAATCCTTGCCCTCTTATTTTCAGTGAATGACAGCCTTTACATAAACTGAAAATTATGCATAGCGTGCAGTTACATACCATGCTCCTATTCTTTTCAGGTCTAATTTTAATCCATTTTTTCCGAAAGTTCGATTATCCAAATTCACCCTGCCACTCTCCTCAAACAACCAGCTACTGAGGTCCTATTATGGAAACAATAGTCACGTAATGAGAGAGAACTGCACAAATTCTCTGCATGCTTGTGTGCTTACACACAGACTATAAAAGCTATAACGCAAGACTTTGAATTATGAAGCTATAAATCACATTAGAAATAATTTGTGAACAATCAGAAAGAAAAGCAAGGGATACTGAAAACCAATTTAGAGTAATAATACCAACCACAGAAATGACTGTACATCCTGGGCTGGAGACTTCTAGGTTTAAATCTTTTCCCTGATGTCAGTCTGACATTCACTGTTAAAAATCATGTAAAGTAAAAAAGTTTTTTGAAACACAAACTTATCTCAAACCCCCAAATTTTAGTTTTATCCTAAAATCAAGGACAAGGAAATAAGACAAACACAAAAAGGAAGAAAGTAAATGTTTTAAACCTGTGCACTAAAAATAGCAATCATGACTAATGCAGCTGTATGAGAGATTGAATGTTGAAGGTGATGAACAGAGGGAGCTACTGTCAGCTGAAAATCTGCCCCATCAGAAACAGGTACATATTTACAGCACATTGCACTCTTTGTCTGCGTCATTTCAACTTTTAAAGAAAGAGTAAAAAATTACCTTTCCCACATACTGAGGTTCGGAGCCCATGTACTCCTCCAGCACAAAAAATTGATTCCACACCCAGCCTCGTTTGACTCGCTGGGCAGATGACCTCCTCCCTGGCACTGGGACAACATTTTCTCTTGGCTCTGCTTCTAAAGTCTGTTGTGGCTGTGGATGCAGTGGCGTTAGGAGACCTCCATCAAACAGGACCCAGAGAAGCAGGGATAAGCAGTTCCTTGTAAGCATTGGCAACGGCTTCCCTACAGCAAGTAATAAAAACTCCAGCACTTAATGCAGAGCAGAGTAATCCAGGTTTGAGGTGTCTGTGGCCTCCACCACTTAGCTTCTGATTTTATTGCGGAAATGCTAATGCAGGCATTAATCCTTCTGATGACAAGGTTTTTGCCGCATTAAATTCCATCTAAAGGGACCTATAAAAGAGATTTACATGGCAACATCAAATTACATAAAATTACATTGAAGTGTTCATCAAAATTCTCACACCTAGTTAGTTTCTAGAGAGAAAGATTAGGAATCACAGTTTTAAAAGCAATTATTGTTTTGACTGTAGTAGCACCGAGCTGCTCTGGAATATGGTGCAGTTAGCACAGGAATAGATCATTCTTGCCCTGCTTGCCATTATGTTTGTGTCTAGCTGAGGACAGGCCCGTACCCTCTACTTTATGACTCTGTTATCTCACAAAACTTTCACCCACCATTGATGCATTTACTCTGGATTCAGACATAAAACACTGGGCAAGAGAGGACCCACTCTTCCTCTCTCAAGAGCAGGAGTGCTTTGCTTTTTTGTCTTTGCCAGAATGGCATCTTGGACATATCATCCTTCTGTGACTATGGATGGATATGGACAAAGCTTATATTAAACTATTGACCCTGGAAGGTAGATTTGTATGAACTCTGTGAAAACTGAAAAAGTGAGAAACACTGTCCATGCAGCTAAACACCACAGAGCTGTCACACACACAATATAGAACAAAAACAAAAACAAAAACAAACAAAAACACACAATATGCTGTCTGTGACAGACGTTCTCTTCTCATAAACCTTGTATAAAAATGGTAGCTATGCTGTTCTTCAGCAATACTGCAAAATGCATTAAAAAAAACACAGTCTTGATCTATGGGAGCAAATGATAGAACTGCAGTCAATGCAGAAAATGAAACAACACAGAAGCCAGTAAGATAAGACATTGACATTCATTTATACTGACAAATGCCAGGTACACAGATTAAAAATAAATCAGCACTAACGAACTACAAGGCTTAGAGAGAACCATCACATCAAGGTGACAATTAAAACTGTGGTGATTCTTGTAGCAGCCAAACGCCATCAGCACAGAAGGGGAAAAAAGAAAAGAAAAGAAAAAAAAAAAGCCCTGGAATGACTTGAAGGAATTGTTTTTGCTCTCATATTGCTCTGCTTATATCACCACAGGCCACTTTAACAGAAAGACAGATAATAAAAAATACTGTGTTTTCTAGCCACAGTATAATTAACAGGGGTGCTTTCTTCTAGTATTTATGAAATGTTCAGATTCATTGTCTGAAGTTAATAAAATGACAGTACTAAAGGATGTAAATATTTAAATATTATGGATTGTAGAATATATAAAATGAACCTCTAGCTGTCATTTGCAACTTTGCACCAAATTCAGCAGCAATAAAAAATTGTGAAAATGAGTACTCATGCCATCTAAAATTGCTGTGGCACAGCCCACTATAAATAAAGTGCAAAGACTTATGAATCCACAGAGTTCATGCTGAAACAAACGGAGCTATTCTAGAATTTAGAATTAGCCAATAAGCCGTAGCACACCCGCATTTACAGTAAAATGAACATCAGTAACTATTAAGGCAATGCAAATTCTTTTGTGTTTACTCTTTCCACCCTTTCAAGCTATCAATGTTTCCATTGATAGAGCATGGCTTTCACGAAGCTAACCATGTCTATGCTGGCCCTGATTAAGGTGTTAAATCAGAACTTTTGTATTTTCCTAACGTTCAGGACATCTGACAAATACTTTCCATGCCATGGTTTTTTTTCACTGAGGGTGAATGACTGGAAAGCTATATGTTGCATTAGCTGTTTTCTGACAACTAACATTTCTATAAACCACAGTCACATGCTAACAAACTTTAAATTTCAGTGTGGGCTGAAGACTTAAGAATGAATTAATAATCCTATCTTTTAAGACCTGCATACTATTAATGAAATACCAGCCTGCTATCTGGCCTACTGTTTGTCAGCTACAACAAATACTACTTCTAGGATTTAAGATGAATGCATGGTACATTTTAAGAAAAAAAATACAATTTATACCACTATGGAATTCACCACTTGCCTTCAGACATATTGTGTCATTGATTTTTAAGCAGAAGTTTCTCCAAAATCAATAGAATTCTGCTTAAAAATCAATGACATGATATGGACCTCAAGAAAAAAGACATGGTAAAGTATCTAAGCATATACATATATATATTCCCATTTTCAAATACTGTCAAAGGTTATATTTTCCTTATGCATAATATTATTATTATGCATAGCAATAACTAACACAGAAATGTTTGTTACCTACATACTGAAGTACCTAAGTAGAAAGGATTTATAATTGGAAGACCAAAAAAAACTAATGAGTTTTGAAGAAAATCAAATAAAAAATCCCTAGAAAAATAACTGCAGCTCCTATTCTACACTTCTGTTCTGATTAGAAAGACTGCATTTTTTGAATCTTTGAATTCTACCTTCAAAAAGTATCAAAAGTGAAAGAGCTCCTATTTGCTTGATACTTCTCTAACAACAACAAAATTATTTTAACTTTTTTTCAATGAATTTTATTTCAACAAATTAATCTTTAAGACAGAAACTTAAGACACTAGGGAAGGGGGAAAATATATTAATATTTAGAATGTATTTTTATTTTCATTAACAACTTTATGCTAAACAATTCGTATTACTTTTTGTGGTCCTCTCTTCAATGCATTCGACAGCACACAAAATCACGTTCAGATTGTGTTCATCCATAATTCAATTCAAAAAGCTTCAAACTCCCATTGTTCTCTAGTTCCATGATTGCAGGGTGCTTGCCTGGCATTTATGGCAAAATCAGAGTAGCTGTGCAAGACGGAAAAATTAAAAAAGAAAAAAAGAGAAAAGAAAAAAAAGAGGAACTCAAATCATCCTCTTGAATTGCTCAGGCATGGATGGAAGCTCAAAATAAACAAGATAAAAAAGTGGTGGGAAAGCCTGCACTGCCTCACGCACCCCGAAATCACACTGTATTCAATTTAGTTCTTTACTGAGGAAGATCTGTACATTATGGTTCTCCCAACAGAGCTCTGCCTCCGGCCATGTCTGTCAGTCAGGGAGCTTTTAAAATGTTATACAGCACCAAAAGTAATGCAAAGAGATTGAAGGACTTCAGAGAAAGAAGAACAATTCCCCCTTGGCTGAAAGGTTAGTAACCAAGCGCAAAACAGAGAGCACTTTAACCCCTTCTCCACTGGTCTCTCAGACTGTCTTCTGAGAATTTGTTGCAGAGCAAGGAAAGAGCAATGCCAGTAGTTGCTTCACTCCCTGCAGAGCTTCAAAACATGGATGAACATGAAGGTCAGGGAAAAAAGAGAGGGTAATAGGTATTGCTCTACAGGACTGCAGCACAGACACCCTTATCAGATGCATGACAGTCACCATGAAGAATTTTCTCTTTTTAATTTAAAGCTCAGCAGTTAGAAGAGAATTCTGTACTTCAGCATTCAAAAAAACAATGCTAGCCATCCAGCTACTGTGTATCATTTGAGCAACAGTAGACTGGGGCAGAAGGTCTCTCCCTGTCTTCTTTCCCTCCCTAACATTTCATTGGTGGCTTTGGAGAAAGCCTGGCTTGATAGTGTGTATTTAATAACACAGTTTGAATGTGAGCAGTAATTCAAAGGCTAACACCGGTGTTTCAATAAGTCTGTGCTTACTGGCTTGCATTTTCTTTTTAAGCTATGTGTTAGTCTTCCATTCAGGGTGCTTAGCCCTATTTGGTACTCTTACATTGCCATATGCTTATTAAAAATTTAAATTTAACACCTTTCTATGCATTTGCCTGGAAAACAGTTATTAGTATTCAGAGGTAACTGTTTAGAAATCTGATAAGAACATATAGTGATAAGAAAGAGATATGGTATCACATTTCCTTTTTTTTTTCCAAGGAATTACTTCCTCTGATGCTCTCACAAAAAATACATTTATACGGTGAGGGAGTTTTGTACAGAGACACATTTGCAATGCTTCTCTTTCCCATACAATATGAAAATACAGGAAACTAGATTTTTCTTGGATCTTCTTTTTTTTTTTTTAACCCAAGAATAATCAATTCAGAGTGTTGTACAGACTCAAGTACCATTTTGTATGAGCTGCTTAACCCATAAAGAGAGCTACAAAGGGAGGGCCACTATGCAAAAATCCTAAAAGTTGAATTTACCCATGCAAATGCTTTTATAAGTTGAGATTTCATTTATTCATTTCCCCCATTTGTCAAAAGTGAAGTGAACCAGTAACAAGTATGGACAATGCTAAAGCATGATAACTAAGAAATACAGATTCTATTTACTCTGTCCCCCAAACTGTCAGGCTTAGAAACTCATGAAATGCAAATGACGAATTAAATATGATTACCAAGAGTATTTACTGAGAATAATAAAATAGAGTATAAATGATGCTCAGGCAAGAATTTTGATGTTGACCTGGATTGAACTGCTATTAATCTAAGCAACATGAGCAAAGAAATGCCATAGGAATAGCAAAATGATGTATGCCATCGCTAATGCAATAATCCTCAATCAAAGAAAGTAATGGAACATGAGTCCCTTCACCAAGCTCAGGAAAGGTCATCTTTTCTGCTAGAGAGGACAGCCATACATCCTTTGTAGTCATAGAATCATAAATTCATTAAGGTTGGAAATGACCTCTAATATTATCCAGTCCAACTGTACACCTACCACCAACATTTCCATGTCCCTTAGTATAATATTCAAACATTTCTTGAGCCCCTCCAGGGAAGTGACCCCATCATCACCTCTCTGAGCAGCCCATTCCAGTCCTTTATCAATTTTCTATTCCTAATATCCAACTTGAACCTCCCCCACACCACTTGTGGCCATTCTCTCTCATCCTACCACTAGTTACCAGGGAGAAGAGACTGACTCTCACCTTGCTACAACCTACTTTCAGGCAGTTAT